AGAGGTTGCTTAGATGACGAGAGGAGAGCTCTTGAGCAAATAATAGAATCTATGGGTTTTGGAGATGAATATCCTTACCAAAGCAAATACTCTGATGATTGTTGCAAGTGGGAAGGAGTTGAATGTAGCCTCACAAGCCCTCATGTTGTCAAAATTTTCTTTGAAGATATTAGGGAAGATAAAGAATTATGGTTTCCGGATTTGAGTTTTTTTGCTCAACTCAAAGAATTGCAAGAGTTACATCTTAAAGGCAATAGCATTGGTGGATTGATTAACCCTGAAGGTGAGGTTCTTATTTATTTATTCTTTATGCTCTTTAATTTTAATTGTCCCTATGTGTAGCTATTACTTACAACATAATTCTGGACTCATGATTCAGCATTATGCAAACTTGATTACTTGCAACGTTTGGATCTTTCATCCAACTCAATTGAAGAAGATTTTGTGCAACCATGTTGGGGGAACATACCATCACTGAGAACATTAGATTTGTCAAAGAACCGATTTCAAGGGAACCTTACCTCCATCTTTTCTAATCTTTCAAAAGCAGAATGCATCGATATTTCTCACAACCTTTTTCAAGGTATTGTGCCGCTATTTGTTTTCGCAAATCTTTCGAGGCTTTCTTACCTAGATCTTTCTTACAATCACCATTTAGAAGTGGAATCTGAAACCCCAAGTTGGCATCCTTCCTTTCAAATACAACATCTCTTTTTGGCAGGATGCAACCTCAATAACCAAACTAGCCGGAACATTCCCAGTTTCCTTCTCAACCAAAATAACCTACAGACCGTAGATTTGTCTAGTAACTTACTTACAGGAAACTTTCCCTCTTGGATGCTTCGTAATGTTTCTTCTGTATTGAGGCTACGAGGCAATTGTTTTTTGAGTCAATTTCCTCAAGACTTGCAAAATATTGTATCCACACTTGTTGAACTGGATATCTCAGATAATCATGTTGAAGGGAGATTGCCCTCAGACATTAATTTGTTTCTTCCCAAGCTGTATATCTTCAATGCATCCTCCAATAGGTTATTTGGTAGCATTCCCTCCTTCTTAGGTGAATTTAAAAATCTGAAACACTTGGACCTATCTAACAATCTCCTCTCCGGAGCTATTCCAAGTGGCCTAACCCAAAACTCCCCTCTATGGTACTTGAATCTGTCAAACAATAGCTTGATCGGGGAGATGCTTCCAAAAGATTGTAATATGACACAACTGAGATGGTTATTACTGCACAATAATAAGTTCCATGGGAATTTGCCACTGTGTTTATTGAATAGTCTGTCTTTGATGCTATTAGATATAAGAAAAAACTTGCTGTCCGGAACTATTTTAGGCCAACCACTTGTTTTCAAGCAACTAGGAGCATTTCTTTTGGGAGGAAATGATTTTGGAGGGGACATTCCCAGGCAACTTTGCATGATGAAAAAGTTGCAGTTCTTAGATTTTTCCAAAAACAGCTTCTCTGGGGACATTCCTTCTTGCCTTGGAAACAATTTAGTTTGGAGAATGAAGTTTCAAGCAGACTCTTGGGTTCCAACTGATTTCACCACCAAGGGCAATTCATATGCTTTCCAAGGTATTCCTCTCACTCTCATGACTGGTATTGATTTATCAGATAACAAGTTAGGTGGTGAGATTCCTGTTGAAATTGGTGAATTATCTGAACTCCATTCTTTGAACTTGTCTCACAATCTTTTAATCGGTCATATTCCAACATCCTTCAAAAACCTCTCAAATTTGGAGAGTTTAGATCTCTCCCACAACAGGCTAACAGGACATATACCCCCTGAGATTGGCCAAATCAACTCACTTGCAACTTTTAGTGTTGCCTTTAATGACCTCTTAGGCAGGATCCCATCTAATCAACAGCTCTCAACATTCAGCGAAACTAGCTTCATGGGCAACCCAGGACTCTGTGGGGAACAAATCCAAAAAGAATGCTCAGATAATTTCCACAGACGTGATGGAAGAAGACATGATCTGAATGAGAAGGAAGAAAAAAGAGTTCTTGATGAACCTTTGATTTTCTATTCATTTGTGTTTGCATCATATTCCATTGGATTTTGGAGTCTCATTGCACCACTTTTCTTCAGTGTGAACTGGCAAAGAAAATACTATGGTACTATAGATGTATGGATCCTTTATTTGTTTAACAAGCAAGGGTGCTTACTTTGTAAGAAATGATGTTTCAAAGTTAGCGAAATTTGTCAATTTCCTTAATGAAGATATACTTTTTTATGTTATTTTGCGAATATACTGTTGATAATAATTTGCATGAGCATGCTAATATGTACTACGAACATCAAATGTTATCCATCTAATTTTGGTTCAAGTCTTTAGATTCAAGCAAATGAATATTCATTGTAGTTGATATAAATGCTCAATACAATTACTATTGCAAGTATTTATAATGGCAAATGAAGTTGTTTTCATTAACAGTGCCCTTTCTTTGTATACTTCTCTCACCTATTCCGAAAAGTTTCTACCAATTCTACTATCGCAATTCCAATGCAATACCATGTAATCCCTGCTAGTATAACCTGCATCCAAGAGCTATTAACTATTGTTAAGGCCAAAGAACCACCTATATGTTCTTCTACTTCACTAGCCACTCTGCCTCCAACGTGTAATCTAACTATAAATGCAGCAATTGTTGCTGTCATCACTGGAAGTCTCCATTCAAAGTTGTTCCTCCTTTCTTTTCCTTGTTCATTGTGAACTTGGTCATCTTTTTCCTTCAATTTTTTGGTATACAAAGGCTTTGAAGCAACTTTAGAAGTGTCATTGAAACCATCAATTGAGGCTG